AGAAAATAAAAAAATAATAATAATACAACTTTGGAATTCGACTTTCGCCTAGCTCATAGTATATGTCTCAAGCCCCTTTAGAGTTTCCATGGGCCGAAAAGCCCAAAAACCCAATCCTTTGGCGAGAAACCCTACGACGCGAAAGAGGAACCCTAGCCGTCTGGTCTGCCGCGCCGTCACCCGAAGTCAACTCAGGCCAAAAACTCCAGGGGAAAGACTGCCACAAAGAAACGAGTGCACCGCCGCCAGAACCACCCAAAAAGGTGGCCCCACGCTCCCACACGCGCTCATTCCTTGCTTGAGAGTGGAGGACACTCGCAGCCGCTTGTGGCGACGCGTGGAGGCTTCGGTGGCGACGATCCACCCACCGTTATGTTCGTCTTTCCTTCCTCTTTCCAACCATATATGGATCGCCTTATTCTGAGCTCGGGAAGTCCTCGAAAAGTCTCTGACAGTGCTGACTGCGCATCTTCCTCGCGGTTTCTCGATCTTAAACTTTTACAAAATATTGGAAAAATACACAGAAATTCCGAAAAATAAATAAAAACAGCAAGGAGGAAACCTAATCATATGAGATTAGCCTCCTTGTTATAAATCGAGAAATACACGAGAGACCCTAACCATGGATCAAAGCATTTTTACCGATTAAAATTTAAACTTTTATGAAAAAGAATTATAAAGAATCACCAACATGAATATAAATAACAGATACAAAATAAAGGTGCCATATTTTCAAAAATCACATAGGAAAAATAAATAAATCAAAACTGATCTTAATCCCCATCATAATCCGGCTCTGATACCACATGAAGGTTTATCATCAGAAACGCGGAAGCACATGTACCATTGCGATGAAGAAGAGAGACACTGCTTTATTACCTGGGGTAAAGTAGAGAGCGTGACAATTTCTCACGTTCAGTTCTCCTTCTTAAGCCTCACGATCTGCAGCAACGCAACACGAACGATCGCGATTCTGCTCTACTGTTGATTTTCCAGGCTATGACTCAAGGGGATCAGGGGGTCTTGTGGGCAATCGTTCAGATGATGAACGTCTGCCTCTTTGGTGTGTTTCTGATGTCTGTAACCCTTGGATGCACTAGAGAGAAAAGAGAGTTTATATATCCTGCCCAATCCAAAACTAACCCTAAGCTTCATGGATTAAAATTAGACTTTGGGCTCACTCTCACTAAAGCTATAGAGCTTAATTGAAAAGAGCATACTAAACCCAACAACTCAGAATGTTAACACAACTTTTCTATTTAAATACACTAGTTCAAACATCGTCACTGCATCTTACCAAGGCCCTCTGCCAATATAATTGTTCAATAACTCCCTAAGCTTATTTGTGAGTTTGGAAAGAAAGAAAAGGAAAGGAAATGAATTCAATGGAGAGAAAGGGAAAGGGAGATATAGGGTATTTTTTTTCCTTATTTGAGAGTTTAAAATCCTCCAAATTTGAAAAACTTTAATTTTAAGAACAAGATTTTGGATGTGTAACGTCCGGCTACCCATCCTAGAATTATTGAAAGTCAAGCACGCTTAACTATGGAATTCTTCCGTTTCGGGCTACCAAAAGGTAGATGCATTTTCTTAGTATAGATAGTACCAATTAATTCTTATAAGTTATCCTAACTGTGTAGTCTCATACTTGTATAGTCTTTGGAATCTCTCTTTTGGGTATCGATTCGATTCATTCATGTACCTCCGCTGGAAATCTGTCAGGAGCGGCTCCTTGTCTGTGCCCTTTTGCACCATACCCTTTCGCACCAACGATCACTCCCCGCCCTCGTTAGCGCTTGGGATGTTACAAAATGGTTTTGTAAAAATTCCTAAATCATTTCCCTCACTTTTTTAAACTCTTTCTTTTTTTCCTTTTCCTCTTAAAACTAACTCTCAAACGAGCCCTTAAGCTTTTGTAAAGCTTTTATAGGAAAATAAAAAATTATTTTAGAAATTTTGGGACGAAAAACCGAATGAATTTTTTTTCTAAATTAAAAGTTGAAATGAAGAAATATGTACATGCGATTCGATTCTAAACATGACACGATATCCTAGAACAATAGTTTTTTCAACTTTCAAGTATTTGTTATTCTCTCGATCTATACCTTCTTTAAAAAAAATGATATGATTCCCATTCTACTTTTTAAATATTTTTCAGCATGTGAAACAAAAAATAAAACAAAATAAATTTTGGGGATTTAAAATTTTTAAAGTTATTTCAGATAAATTTATCTAATGTTCACTAAAATACACACATAAAAGTGTATGAGACTTTTTTTTTCTTTCTCTTTTTTTCACATGAATACACATGGACTTCACACACTTTTTGTATGTATTTTGATAAAAGTTAGATTAAATTTATCTAAAGTAATTTTAGAAACTTTAAACCTAAAACATCGACCAGTACTATTTTTATGCTATAGCATTGTTGAGAGCTTTAGATGCTGTCTGCTTCTTTATATATTCCAAAACATCTCAGTTTCATACTTCTCAAGCGAATCTTTTGAAGACCTCCTATGTATTATGGAATATGGAATATATATTTTGATGATGATAAAGGGTTTACAAAAAATCTCAAATTGAAGTTGGAGTTTGAAGATACAAGTGATTAGGTATTTTTAGATATTTTGTTACACACTATATTATATCATATAGTCTCTACTAAGCTCCATTGCATGCCAATACATATTATTGCATATCATGCTAATTTCATAATAAATAATAATGATTTTGATTTTGATAAAAATATGTTTTAAAACTATAATAAAACTAAATCAATCATATATATGTATATATAAAGAAACAAACTCTACAACGGTTTTGATACGTTGGCTTTCAAAACGAAATACATGACATAATAAAAAAAAAATAGCTTTATCATACAAATAAAACACATGTATCAGGTCACGTGAGTTTTAGATTTCAATTACAAATAATATAATATTAATAAAAAAAAGGAAGTAAAAATAGTCATTCAAATTTCAAAAGAAAAGTCCCATCTAGTAAAGGTAAAAGTCACGTGGGTTAGCTTTGGCTATCTATATTATATATACATATATAAACAAACAAAAAATTACAAAATAAGAAATTTTCGATCCCTCTCTGTTAAAAGAAAAGAAAAGAAAAGAAAAAGCTCCCTACTCAAGAAAAACAAAATCTCTCTTCTTCAACCTGCAAAAAGAGAAACACTGGTTCTGTATACTTTTTAAACACTGATGCGGTAAGAAACGCTGGTTCTGTATACGTTTTAAAACACTGATGCGGTTCTCAAGCTTTTTGTCACAAAAGCTAAAACACTAGATCTCAAGCTTTTCTTCATTCTGAAACGCCATTACTGGTTCTTTTTCTTGGATGCGCGTAGTCCTAGTTTCTTGGATGCGCTTTGTTCTGATCTTTATTTTGGGTGCTGCATTGGTGAGTTTATACAACACATGTAATCTGAGTTAACACAAATCGGTATTACAGAGATACAAAATATTTGGGGCTTTTTACGGTATACTCAAGAAACTCAAATCCTCTGTGAATCTTTGATTTAAAGCATTTAATCTGAAATTTCCAGATTTGTTATTTCATATGCTTTAGGGATTTTGAGTTGTTTAATCTGAATATTAAATTCTTGAGTTGTTCATTAGTATAAAAATTTATTGTTAAAATTTGGAATCTGATTTTTGCATCTTGATTTTTCTGTTTTGATTTTATGTGAATATCTTAGAAATCTTGATGCTCTTTGTGTAAGATTTGTGTTTCTAATTTTTGGGAAATATTGATTAAAAATATTAAATCTGAATTTATCTTTACATCTTGTTATACATTGTGTTAATTCAGATTTTTGTTTGAAATTTATTGTTTAGAAACCTAATCTTGAATTGTTCTAGAAATTTTATTGTTGGAATATTAAATCTGAATTTTCTGTTTTAATTGAATTATATTGTGATTAAAATTCAGATTTCTTTTGTTTATTATTAAAAGATTTATCTAGAACTAATTCTGAATTTTATGTGAAATTTTGAGATAAATTTCAAATCTGATTTTTCTCGTTATAACTGTGATATTTTTTTTAAATCAGATTTCTTGGTGTCCATCGATTAGAAAAATAATTGTGTAATATCAAAGCTCCTTGGTGCATTAATTTTAGAGATTTTAATACATATGTCATTGGATTAATTTTCTGCATATGGCATAAATTTGTGGAGCTTAGTTTGATATTACTGTGATATATTTGGTGTGATAGGACACTGTAATTTTGGTTTATTTCACTTGTTACAATTCTGAAAATTCTGTATTGATTGTTAAAGTGGAGTAGTTGCGTGCTGTAAATCTGTCCTAGGTGTGTGGGTGCAACCGTGTGGGTTGGCGACCTTGTGCTTGGCTTGAGAGTGTGTCTCAAGGCTTGGAGCCTCAAGAATCCACTAGGGAGAGTGGAGGTCTTGTGTGAGAAGAGTTGGTGAACTCCGTAGGTTCGGCTTGAGAGTATTCTCAGAGCTTGGAGCAGTGTAGGCACTAGGAAGATTTTTGATATCTTGTTTGATTTCATGTGTGACGCGTGTTTGTAAAACTGGTACACTTGTGATAAATAAAATATCTGCAGCTACTTCAGTCTGGACGTAGCACCCTACTTAGGCTTAGTGGGTGTGAACCAGGATATATCGTGTGTCCTTTGTCTCTCTGATTTAATTTCTGAATATTTTGTTTAGAGACTGACAGTTACACTAATGCTATTATAATTGCTGCGTTTATACTCTATAAGTTGCTAAGGTACGCATTCTATTACTACATTGTTCTTAGCATTGCGAAAAACTATTTTGGGCATATAGGGATTGAAGAAAAATTGTGTAATTGTTTACTGAATTCAAAAAGATTTTGAAAAAGGTTAGAACACCTATTCACCCCCCCTCTAGGTGTTCCGTAAGCGTCCTGTGTAAGAAGCCACTTGCCCAACAAGTGGTATCAAAGCTTCGTGCTCTGAGTGATTGGCTATCTGCCAAAGAGTTAAAGATCCTATGGCTTCTTTCCATCAGGATATTCCTCTTGAGGGTGGTTCCACCTATCGCCCTCCGTTTTTCAATGGGATTGATTATCCCTACTGGAAAACAAGGATGCAGATTTTCCTTGAGTCGGTAGATCTTAAAATTTGGTATATTGTAGAGGAAGGATATCAGCCTCCAACTAGACTAGATGACAATGGTAAAAATATGCTTAAAAAATACACAGAGTTTACTAGAGCAGAATTAGAGAGTGCCCAATACAACTCAAAAGCAAAGAACTTAATAGTTAATGCACTTGGTAAGGATGAATACTACCGAGTATCTTCATGTAAGACCGCACGTGAGATGTGGCTTATTTTAGAAACAACCCATGAAGGTACTAGTGAAGTAAAGCGTTCTAAACAAAATGCATTATCTAGGGAGTTTGAGCTCTTTGAGATGTATGAGGGTGAGTCTATATTTGACATGCAAAAACGTTTCATGCATATAGTTACATCAATGAATGCTTTAAATATTTTTCATGATGATGAACTGTTAGTTAACAAAATTCTGAGATGTCTTACTAAGGAATGGGATGCAAAGGCTTCGGCAATCTATGAAGCTAAAGATCTCTCCACAATGTCAATTGCTACTTTATTTGGAAAGCTTCAGGAGTACGAGTTGGAATTAAACAGAAGGGCTAAGCGTGAGCTTAACAAGAAAAATTCAAAGAGTATAGCTCTAAAATTTTCTTCTTCCCAATCCAAGCAAAGTAAGAAAAGTACCGATACTTCTTCAAGTGAATCAAGCACCGGTGAAGACGATGAAATGACAATGTTCGTGAAAAAGTTTAACAAGTCATTTACCAAGTTCTTCAACAAGAAATTTAACAGAAGGAGAAGAAGGGTCAACAACCCAAGTAGAAAAGAAAGCAACTCAAACAATGCTTGTTTTGAGTGTGGAAAAGAAGGCCACTTCCAAAAGGACTGCCCGAACAAAAAGAATAAATATGATAATGGCAAGTTCAAGAAAGGTAAGAGCAAAAAGAAGAAAGCTTACATGGCATTTTCGGATGACACTTCAAGTACTACAAGCTCCTCATCAAGTGAACAAGCTAACCTTTGCTTCATGACACAAATTGAAAAAGATAAAATTGAGGTATATTCTAGCCACTCTTCCAGTTCTATGTGGGATTCCGATTTGGTATGTGATTCTAATTCAATGTGTAGTTCTAGCACCTCTTGTGATACATCTTCTATGGTAGGTCCATCATATGATGATTTGTTGTATGCTTATAAGTGTTTGCAAGTTGAAAATGAAAAATTAACCTCAAAGGTTAAGAAAATTAAAAATGAGAAAAATTGCTTGCAAGACAAAGTTGATAGTTTGACCACCATTGTAAATGATCTAATGAAAGACAATGAGGATCTTAAAAATGAAAATCTTTTCATGAATTGTCTTGTTGGATCATGTGATGATGTGAACCCCCCTTCCACTATTTCATGTACTAAATGTGTTGAATTATCTAATGAAGTGGATAGTTTGAAGGTAATGGTTGATAGAATGACTAGTGGGAGAGATAACTTGAATGTTCTCCTTGATAGACAAAGGGTTGAGACTACTAAACATGGACTTGGTTTTCAAAAACCTCCCTTTGTTCAACCAAGAAAGACAAACCACTATCCTCCTAGGTTCATGTCTAAGCTACCATTTAAGAAATGTACATATTGTTGCATGAGTGGTCATCTTGTATATCAATGCAATATTAAGAAATATGGCCTAAAAGGAACTAATCTTAAGTGGGTTCCTAAGAGGACTATAAATGTGAGCAACATTGCTTCAACATCTTATGGACCTCAACCTAACACATCTAGCATGTTCTTTAGCCCCAAGGTTAAGAACATGATATATGTTCCTAAGAAAACTTAGTGAGCATGTATGCATCATGTGCCATGGACTGCTTTATTTGATAAATCTTTTTGCACATGATGTCTAGTTGTTGTTTGGTGTTTAATATGACATGCATAGACTATTTTTTAAATATCTTTTGTTGTACATATTCAATATAAATGTTCTATATGTGGATAGAAAGCTTACTTCATGCACTACATGCCTATGTACTTGAATACTCCACCATTTTACTCTTATATTCAATTATATCAAAATAGGACAGCAAGCCTATTTCAATGTATCTTTCACAAATAATGCCTATTAGCAATCATGAATGAGTTATCTTTCATATAATGCCTATTATTCATACTTGTACTATTTGATAAATGCTTGATCTTGCTAATGTGCCTAGAAAGGAAAGTGTGGAAGATTATGTTGTAGGTGTTTGAAAGAAATTGGAAATGAATGAAAACATGAAGATTACATTGAAGATATTGAAAAATTGAAGAACCTCTTAGACTAAGCCCAAAAATTGCAAAGAATCAATACTTAGTACAAGACATGGGTAATTTTTGATATATGATATGCTTGCTATATACCTTATCCATCTTTAATCCTTATTATATGCTATAATTGATTTTGATGATGTCAAAGGGGGAGAAAATATAAATATCATCAAATTGAGCTTATGAGCTTAAGCATATTTTAAGGGGGAGTTTTTGAGAAGTCTTGAGAACATATGTATGCCTTACTTTTGATTAGCATAATAATTCTTAGTATGCATATGTTTAGGGGGAGTATGTGATTACATGATTTTAATATCTTATGCTACTAACCCTTACTTGTTTCAATTTGAGTTTAAATTGCCATCATCAAAAAGGGGGAGATTGAAGACCTCCTATGTATTATGGAATATGGAATATATATTTTGATGATGACAAAGGGTTTACAAAAAGTCTCAAATTGAAGTTGGAGTTTGAAGATACAAGTGGTTAGGTATTTTTAGATATTTTGTTACACACTATATTATATCATATAGTATCTACTAAGCTCCATTGCATGCCAATACATATTATTGCATATCATGCTAATTTCATAATAAATAATAATGATTTTGATTTTGATAAAAATATGTTTTAAAACTATAATAAAACTAAATCAATCATATATATGTATATATAAAGAAACAAACTCTATAACGGTTTTGATACGTTGGCTTTCAAAACGAAATACATGATAAAATAAAATAAAAATAGCTTTATCATACAAATAAAGCACATGTATCAGGTCACGTGAGTTTTAGATTTCAATTACAAATAATATAATATTAATAAAAAAAGGGAAGTAAAAATAGTCATTCAA